CTACTACTACTACTACTACTACTACTACTACTACTACTACTACTACTCACATCGGACGTATGCCAGACACACTGGACTGTACTCATGCACACTTGTGGAGTTAAAAGCACACTGGAAATGGTTGAGCCACTGCATCCTTATGGAGTGCTAGCATGGCCTCTCAAATGATCCTGTACACGTCTCGGAAAGTGAGGTCAAAGCGGTTCTACTACTACTTACTTACTACTTACTACCACACTACTACTTATACTAATTATTATTACTACTTCTTGTACTTGTTTTGCATATAGCGAGGCCATCTCTAAGAGTCTTCGCCAACGAGGAAGGGGTCGCAACTGTATTCGGAGGAAGCTCAACGTACACTCGCTCGCGCAAGGCCAGAATGGCCAACTCAAAAATAGAAGTGGAATATCGTCACCAACTCTCCATTGTAAATATTTAGTTGCAAAACCGCAAGAGCAAGTTCATACTTCTCTCCGAGAAGACACGCTTATGTTCAAGGAAATCTTGAACAGCCCAGGTGCACTGGCCACGATTGACACCCCATGGCCACAGTATCATGCACATCAGGCTCAACTGTGTCCTGTGCCCTTTCACACCAAACAGGATGCTGCGGTCTATTACACCACACAGCTGCACCTGTTGGGGAACAGGAGAACGAGTTGAGCAAAAGCGGTTGGTTTCTGCGAGCCACAATTGTTGTTGGAAAACATGTTCTTTGGATTGCCCCAACTTACAGCGAATCTCTTCGGCCTGTGATTCAATAGGTTGTTTTGGCCTCTTCACCAGCTGTGTGGTTGTGCAGAATATCGATACGGCAGCTGCCGTGTTGCTCAGCAAGAGCGTCAGTCACAAGTTCGCCCCGCAAATGTTCCAAAAGGCCCGCCGGGCACCACAGGAGGCGCAAAGGCTTTCTTAAAATGGATCAAGGAATCCAAGAAGCCCCACCAATCGCAATGCGTCCACATTGGATCAACCTGGTCATGTTCCAGGAGGATGGATGACGCCCCAACGATACAGCTGACCAGCCTGCATAAGCCTGTTGGATTGATGAATAATGGAAGCTGGCCAAAGTGAACCATGGAAATTCCGTAAGCTGGACCCTTCCGTCGGCCCAAGCATGCGAGACTCATTGTTCCAAAAGGTCACAGGCAAGTTGGCAGTGCTACTCCCCTGCAGCTTGTTTTTCACGGAGCGAAACTTCGGCAATTCCTGACATTGGCAATTCGGGCAGTAAAATGGTGGGTAAAGGTCTGTTCAACGACAGGAAGTGCAGGACATTCAGCAGCAAACATGAAAACTACTAGCGATGCACTTGTTCCTAGTAGCTTCTTGCTACTACTAGTAAGGCACTTGTTACTAGAAGCGATGCGTTCCTAGTAGCTTCTTGTTAATACTAGTAAGGCACTTGTTACTAGTAGGGATGAATGTTGACAAAACAGGCACATGGCTTCGCAGCAACGGGGCTGCCTGCGGTTGGCGTACGGCGTACACCCTGTGATTGCTGATTCTTCTACTCACAGCTACCCGCTACGAACAAGAACTCAAATGGTGAGGCCAAGCAGCACTCCATCCTCGATTCAATCAGGCTTCCGAGGCGCTACATCGTATGTGCTTCACATGCTACGCGCTTCATGAGGAGATGAATCAGATGAACGTGTTTTTTTCAAAGCACTCTGACTATGTTTGGCTGACAAGGGATTCACCTTCCACGGCGGCAAAGTCAGCAACGCGGAAAGAGCTTTCCGCAGCTTTGGCATCCCCGGCTGCAGGCTCGGAAGATGGGGTAGACAACATGTGAGAACGATAATGCAACACATTGCAGTTTTCAAGCTACTAGTAACAAGTGCATCGCTACTAGTAACACGGGCATTACTACTAGTAGCTAGAAGCTACTAGTAGCAAGGTGCATCGCTACTAAGAGTAGTAGCAAGGACGCTACTAGTAACGGGCGTTACTACTCTTACTACTAGTAACAAGAAGCTACTAGTAACACATTGCAATTACGCTTTCCTCAGTGGGCCGAAACTGGTGAAACTCAATATAAACATAATAAACTCAGTGAAAATTGAGGTGCTGAGCCTGCGGATGCAGAGGGAGGTGGATAAAAAGAATGACATGCAGGATGAAGATTGCTAATGTTGCATGCTCTTTCGTTTTTTGTTGATCTTTAAAAGTGAAAGGGGTAGTAGCTAGCATTGTTACATGTTAGGTGGTTTTGTGGGATTTCAGTTGCTCTTTAGTAGTTCATGCAAGCATGGTCCCGGTCATGCATTGACAGATGTGTCCAAAAATCATTTTCCAGAAGGCTCTTTGTGAGTGACGTTTGGTTCGAGGTTGAATCTTTTAATCTGAACGTGGGCCTAATGTCGGGTGGTTATGCGGCAAGTGTGCCTGCCACAATGAAAGCTGCAGTGGTGGAAGAGTTTGGCAAACCGCTCGTGATCAAATCAGTTCCAGTTCCTGAACCAGGACACGGAGAAGTCTTGGTTAAAGTCATTGCGTCAGGGGTTTGCCACACTGACTTGCATGTCAGAGACGGTGATTGGCATGTGAAACCCAACCTGCCAATCATTCCTGGCCACGAAGGCGCTGGTGTTGTAGTCAAGCTGGGACCTGGTGTCAGCACATTGAAGGTGGGTGACCGTGTTGGTCATGCCTGGCTGCACGATTCTTGTGGTGGCTGCGATTATTGTCTCGCAGGGTGGGAAACAGTTTGTGGAAATCAGCACCAGACAGGATTCTTTGCCAATGGTTGCTTTGCTGAATACACAATTGCAGAGGCCAACTATGTTGGCCGAATTCCTGACAATGTGAGTTTTTTCCCAATCAGCACCGATTCTATGCGCTGGTGTCACTACATACAAGGCACTGAAGGAGACAGAGGCCAAACCCGGGCAATGGGTGGCCATCATTGGCGCTTGTGGTGGCTTGGGGCATGTTGGTTGCCAGTATGCCAAAGCGATGGGTCTCAAAGTCTGTGCTATCGACTTTGGGCCTGACAAGAAGAGTTATGCAATGGATACTCTGAAGTGCGAAGCATATGTGGACATCAAAGATAAAAAGGGAGAAGACATTGTTGAGGCAGTGAAAGCTGCATGTGATGGTGTTGGAGCTCATGGATCCGTGATTTTGGCACCCGTGCCAGCAGCATTCCGCCAAGGAGTAGATATGCTCCGCCCCATGGGAACTGCAGTTGGGATATCCCTTCCACCAGGCGACTTTCCTGTGGACATTTTCTCGCTGATCCTTCATAGGAAAACGGTCCGTGGCTCCATTGTCGGCACACGGAAGGACCTGAACGAATGCCTGAGCATTTGTGCTGATGGAAAGATTGTGTGCACCGTGGAAGAGCGCAAGCTTGAAGACATCAACCAAATCTTTGACGACATGGTGCATGGCAAGATCAAGGGTCGCTGCGTGCTGCGCATTGCTCCTGACCCATAGTGTGTCCATTTTGTCACTCCATTCCAACTGCCGAGGCCCAGTCCCAGTCTTGGCAGATCTTTTGTTGCCGGAGCTCAAGCAATTAGACTTGAGGCACACAGTTTGTCCGGGCAATCGTTTCAAGCGCGAAAATATAAATCAACACATGCCGAGCTAGAAGTAGACCCACAATTGAGTTTCTTTTCTTGTTCCTCTCTCTCCCTCTTTCTCTCTCTCTCTCTCTCTGAGCGAGTTGTATTCTCAAAGTTTGGGCAAGTGATATGATATATGATATACATAAAAAAAATACGGCTAGTTGTACGCAGTACACGGCTTGTCACGTAACGATCGGTAGCTGCGTGGCTCAGAACCACGCTTTAGCTGGGTGTCGGGATCCAGCTGCGCCTCCATGGCTGCCCAAGAAGATTGGGCGCTGGTGGAGGGACGAACCAGCCTGACGGACGGTGAGCTAGAGGTCCTTAAAAGGTCAGGCTGGACAGTGACGAGATTGGCCACACTCGTGGACAGCGAGGAGTCGACCTTCAAGGCAGTCTTGTGGAAGTTGCAACAGCAAGAGGAGGATGTCACCTTGGACAAGGATAAGTTGGCAGAGCTGGTGAAGGTGTGTGCCGGCTGTGCGCAGTCGAGGCATCAGTCCGATGCAAAGAGAGGGTCGCAAGACCTATTGGATGCACATGTGGCGCATCAGAGGGATCTGCGACGGCGCACTTTCTATGAGATCCAGCGGGCGGAGGCTCAATCCAAGATTGAACCGGTTGGCACTGCCAAGAGGTCGAGGTGGCCTACAAGACTCAGTATGAAGCTCCATATTGCCTCGAGCGACTTGGCGCTTCGAGACCTGGCCGAAAAGCAAGAGCGAGACCGTTGGGTGAAAGAAATTCGAGACATCGTCAAAGCGGCCAAGTTGCCGGTTGCACTTCGTTCCAGCGAGGATGCACTGCTCATCCGGGTGGCGAAAGGCCGCAGGGCCAACGCGTTGAGGAAGCATGTAAAGACGTGGATGAAAGCATCCCGTTGGTTGGACGCTGTCTTTGGCAACCAGTGGCCGGCGAGTCCGGAATGCTTCGCGGAATTCCTGGAAGCGATGGTGGAGGAACCATGCGCTCGCAGCTTCCCAGAATCAGTATACAAGGCACTTATGTTCCTCGAATACGCGGGCGAGGTGCCCGAGGCAGATCAACTATGCCGGGCGCCAGCCATCAAGAATGCTCTCGAGGAAGCCAACCTTAGGTTGCAGTCAGTGGAGTTGAAGCCTTCGAGAAAAGCCTTGGTTATCCCGGTCTCGATCGTGGTCGCATGGGAACAA